CGAGTATACAGCAGGTGGGATTTCAGTTTCAGATAATTTTTGTTATTTTTTATACAGTTAGACTTCAAGTCATGTGTAAATCTTCATAATGTATCTTTGAAAACTCTTGACCTCAGCCTAGTCACAACTCCACAACGAATCTATTTTTTTTGCAACTTTTCGTTTTTTTCGCAAAATTTTTTTCGGTGAGCTATTCAGAGTGCGACGTATAAGATCCCCTCCCATCGTAAGAACGCTATAACTCTTACCACAAACGAAAGGGTGATATACAAAATCCAAGGAAGACAAGTTGAAGGGTAAACCCGGAACCCGACAAGGTAACCAGAAACCCGAACTGCTATACAGATGGAAGGTGTACCCAAAGGCAACCAGAGGCCCGAACTACTGGAGGCGAGCGACAAACCTCCTTGGACTTTGTAATTTACCCACAGATGATACCAAGGCTATTTTCCCAGCCCTTGCAACTCTTGAGCGATTTAGAATTTCCTCAACTTTTTATTTTTCACGAGGTCGATAATTAAAAGAGGAGCTACCATACCTCTTCCTACACGTTCACTATAAAGGCGATTCTCATACAAATCCGTCCTAGTAGTTCACGCAGTATTTCGGATTTTTTTTCATTCAGCTAGTCTACAACTGCGCGTTTCAACTCCTCCATATTTTCTATTCTTCCACTTACGTAAAATCGACAACAACTTAACACGTGTCTAACGACCTTCATGATTTCTCCATCATCACATTTTATCATCTCTAATCTTCCCACCGATTCGATCAGCTTTAGCTAAAGAATTTTGTAAGTATTCCAACTAAGCTTAGCCGTCAGGAAAGTGACCATCTCGTGGCTTTCTCAGCAACAGTGTTGGAGTAGGAAATTCCTGCTAGGAATATATGTTTGCTTTCCTCAGCTGCTGGGCTCGGGAGTTTCCTCACTGATTATAGGAGTTTATATATGAATTAGTAGTAGTAGAAGTGTTTATAAACCACGAAGAATTTCTCGCGATTTTTTCAAGATTTTTTTGAAAAAATTTCCATGTGCATATTTTCCCACACTACTTAACGATCAATGCTTTGTAATTGTCATCATTTTAGTGTTTACTTTACTACTAGTAATAAACACTCGTTATGTCGTCCGCTGCCACCGATGCAAGGACTGCTGCTGCTGTCAACGCCGCTGCGGTCACTCGTGACTACACCATTAACCCTAGAGTTGAGTACCAGACCATCACTGGTGTCGAGGTACGCTTTTGGGCCTGTTTTGAATCTTACCTCCGTGAACCTCATGATTTCTCAGGGACCTCTGGTCATTCTTGACAATGTGAAATTCCCCCAGTACAACGAAATTGTCAATCTCACTCTCGCCGACGGCTCCACCAGGCAGGGTCAGATACTTGAGGTTAACGGCTCTAAGGCAGTCGTTCAGGTGAGTTTCAAATCGTCGCACTCACTCGTTTCACTAAATGCATTTCAGGTCTTCGAGGGCACCAGCGGTGTCGATAACAAGAACTGCTATATTGAGCTCACTGGTGACACACTCAAGATGCCAATGTCAGACGAGATCATGGGTCGGTCTTTCAACGGCTCTGGTCAACCTATTGATAAAGGCCCCCAGGTCTTAGCTGAAGAGTATCTGCCTATAAATGGTTCCCCCATCAACCCCAAGTCTCGTCAGTACCCTAAGGAGATGATCCAGACTGGTCTATCTGCGTTGGATACGATGAACTCAGTCGTTCGTGGGCAGAAGTTGCCTTTGTTCTCTGCTGCTGGTCTTCCTCATAACGAGATCGCCGCCCAGGTGTGTCGTCAGGCTCAGCTCGTCCAGGGTAAGGATATCCACGATCACTCCAAGGAGAATTTCTCCATCATTTTCG